TTAATATTAATCATGTAACAAATCTTACTCTATTAATAAAGATCGTGAGAAATGCCTCACTTAACAGTAAAAAAAAATATTAAGTTGTCAACTAAAGAGAATTTTTGTTTTTTTTAAGAAATGCAATATCAAAACCATTATAAATAATGTGAGGGGCTATCCAAACCCTTCTCTACTATTAAGGTTTTTAAGGCTGAAATACAATAATTTGGTCTAGGTTTTTTTCTTAAACTCTATAAAACAAACTCATAATTTATCAATACATATTTATAGTAAATCTCCTAATCAATGATACTTGTCTAGATAGTAGTATCTGATAGTGCAAGAAAATTTTCAGCATTATCAGAGACTACATGATATATAAAAACTCTTTAGTCATTCAAATGTTTGGATGAACACATACTCTGCATGGTCTAAAAGTCATTAACCTATCTAACAAAAACATCAGAAAGCTTCATAACAACAAGTACAGCACCCTAGTAGCCTTCAGAGTTAAACTGCTTTTGGAAACTCTTCCAACTTGTCTCACACTTCACCAACTATACTCTAACCAATACCAGATACCCTCTGTCCACAATGTGAGCTCCATACTGAAGATATTCATTATGTCTTTAAATGCCTGGAAGCATTACAAGCAACTGAACAAATCATAAAAACTATTAATCAAACTCTCCATCCAGACAATAATTACAAACCAATCTCACATATATGGCAAGTCATCAAATTGTTATGTGGAGTCACAGACAAAATTTTCTTCACTTCAACCCCTGCCAACTGGATCAAGGCAGCAACAAAATCTCTAACCTTGTTATATGACCTAATTTGGAAACCATATTGCTTCACAGCCAACACCTCACCTTTTACTGAAATTTAGTGGAACCATGCTAAGTTGCATAATTCAACTAACTCCATCAATCCAGAAACCAAAAAAATCTCGCAAACCAAAGACAACTCCAACAATTACAAGACAACATTATTATTAACTTACCTTCTACTGTTGCTAATTTGTTTATCCAATCTAAATACAATTACTCCAAAAGTATTTATAACTTAACAACTCTATTTGCTAATTTCAACTCTATTTCTCCTGATGCTGAGTAGGTATTCATAGTTGCTTGGTGCTATCCAGCAAGATATATTGTTTTAAACTTTCTTTTCAATATTAGTTGTATGGTTACTGTAGGCAAGCTAGCATTTAACTCATTGTACCAATACATGAGAGATATTGTTTCTTTCACGATATATACTATGCTATATATAAATCAAATAAAGAAATAATGTTTACCTACAAAAAAAAATATTTATAATAAAACAACTACTCAAAATTATTATTAAGTTTTTGTTGCAGAAGTTCTCCTTCTTTTTTTGATTTGGCTTTTTCTTTATATATATACTAATATCATAGTAAAATTATAACAACTATAACAACTATTCTAATTATTCTAATTATTTTTACTATAACTGCTATAACTAAGAAAAGACATATAAGAAATAAATCAACTATTTGGAATCATCATGACATCAGTCCATATAATGATGCAAATCTCTTCTCACAATAATAAGAATTGCATTTGAGCATCTGGATGTAATTTAATAAACAAATTTAACAAATTTATTAATCTTAATTTAGAATAAGTTAAATACAAATTTGTAAAATAAGACAAAAAGAAAAGATATTCAAACCTTTCTATAATTGTTCAATTATAAATTTGTTGTTTAATATTAATAGAGTTGCTAATATAATTTATAATTCTTCAAGATAGTAAAAAAAGCAGATTGAGCAGCTCTAGATTGCTTTTGCAGCTTGTATTGATATAATTGCTTTTATAATAAAGTAAAGAATTTTGAAATTGATAAACATATTGGTTTTGAAATTTAATTATATTAGATAAACATATAAATATAAAATCTTGTTGAATATAATACATTTAATATCTAGTTTAGTTTTGATGGATTTGTTTATTTTTCTCTAAAGAGTAATTGCTTTTTATTAAAAAGGACTATAATATTAATCACATATTATAGTTATACTGATATAATTTAATAAAAAACTTGTTCGATTATTAAATTATTTTAATCTTTTTGTGAGGTAACTGTGTTATTAAATTTTTGAATTCTTTTTAAATGCTTTTTTTGGTAGTAATAAATAAAAATTTGTCTGAAAGATAAACTTTTAAATATCTAATATCTTCCTTAAAAGAATTAAAATTAATTTTTTCTTTCTTAATAATAAAAAATTAAATTATTTTTATTTTTTGTTTTAAGATTAATAATTAATTTAGTTTTTTTTTAGTTATACTTGATAAAGTTTAGAAGTATAAAGAAGAAAAAAGTAGTTATTTCCTTTTGTAAAGATTGTATATTTGAACTAGAAAAAGTAATATTATTTATATAAACAAGAACTTTAAAGATTACTAAGTAACTAGTTTATATTCTAATAATTATTGAATTATAGAAGATAGTTTACAATAAATAAGATAGATTTTTATTTTGATTAAGTTCTTTACTAACCATTAAAAAATCAAAAAGCTTGCTATAAGTTATCAGTTTTAATTCTTTTTTTGGAGGGTTTCCCCAGTAGGTAAATATCATTTTTTTATTTGATATTGTATATAACAAGATATACATCATAAAAGAAACAACATTTCTTGAATGCATTGCATACAACAAGTTAAATGCTAGCTTGCCTACTTTACAATATCTAACTAATATCATAAAAAAATTCAAAATCAATATTAATGTGCTAGATAAGACTAAGTAGCAGTAATAAAACTGTTGATAATTGGGATATAGTACCTTACAACTCGACTCTCAGCCGTAAATACAATTGTCATATTAATATTGAGGTCTGTGCATCCGTACGTGCTATCAAATACATTCACAAGTACATCTACAAAGGTCATGACCAGACTACAATGAAATTCGGACAAGAACCTGATAAGATCAAACAGTACATCGATACAAGATATGTTAATGCACCTGAAGCTGTGTGGCGTCTTTTTGGCATGAAAATGTATAAAGAGGTACCAAATATAATATGATTGGCATTACATTTTCCGGGAATACATAGTGTCATCTTTGATCCTAATGATGATGCCACACATGTTTTAACTGACAAAAAACTACTCTTATAGCTTTCTTTGAGATGTGCGCAACTATTGATGTAGTCCGCCAGTATATGTACCAGGAATTCTCTCAACATTTTGTTTGGAACAAAAAGGACAAAAGATGGACAATACGAAAGCAAGGATTTGCTATCGGTAGACTATATTTTGCTAATCTGTCTGTGGGAGAAATCTTTTACCTTTGGCTCCTTTTCACTGTTGTTCGTGGCTCACAATTATTTAATCACTTAAAAATAGTCAATAATATTGCCCATTCAACATTTAAAGATGCATGTCTAGCCCTGGGTTTATTAGAAGATGATGAAGAATGGATCCAGTGTCTAGAAGAAGCTGCAGTCATGTGTAGTGGCTTTCAACTGAGGTTAGTTTTTGCTGTTATACTTATATATTGCACTCTAACTCAATCTCAAGATTTATGGTTACGCTTTTGTGTTAATCTCTGTGATAATCTTCTTTATTGTCTAAGTAATGAACATGCTATTTGTGAATCTAATGAGAGTCAGATATTTGATTTTGGACTTTTTCTCCTTGACAACATCCTGTATAATTTTAATCAATATCTTAGCATGTTCTCCTCGATACCTTTTTGGAAGCATAACTGGGATAATTATCAGAGAAACCATTTCATTTCTGAACATTTAAATTGAAATCAAAATGAGCTTCGAAATACGGTTGACAATCTTATTTCTCAGATGAATAATGAGCAGTGTGCAGCATATCAAGACATTTTTAACTTCGTAACTGAACAACATGATAAATTATTTTTTCTTAACGATCTTGCTGGAACTGGAAAGACTTTTGTATATAATATTCTTGCCATGAAGGTTCGTAGTAAAGGCATGGTCATGATTTGTATGGCTTCCTCAGGCATCGTTGCTCTTTTGCTCAGTAATGGTTGGACAGCTCATTTAACATTTAAAATTCCTATCAACGTCAATGATAGTTCATTTTGTTCAATTGAAAAAAACTCTGCTCATACTGATTTAATACATTGTACATCCCTTATTATTTGGGATGAAGTATCAATGCAACATTGTCACTGTGTTGAGGCAGTTGATCAGGTGAATTGCAGAGTTAATAGTTAGTGGAATTTGGTCAGAATTGAAGTTTTTGTTGTTTTTGAATTTTTTGTTAATAAGTATTTGAGTGTCGTTTAGGATTTTTTTGATTGTTGGTAGGGCTTGGTTGCATAGCCAGAGGTGGTGGGTAGTTTCTGTGTGGGTGTTACAGCGGGGACAGGTATTATTTGTGTATATGTTTGGCAATGTGATGTGGAGATGGGATTTGGTTGGAAGTGTATTGGAGAGTATTTTGAGACGAAAATTGTATATTTTAGATTGGTTTTGTGTAGTTGGAATAGGTGTATTTTTTAAGAAGGTCAGGGTGTTGAGAAATAGTGAGAAGTCCGGTTTAAAGGTTTGTTGTGCTCTTTGAGAGAATATTATTTCAGTGGAGCGGATGGTTTTGTTAATTTGTTTAAGATATTGTCTTGTTGGTGGAATGGATATGTCATTTGAATTTTTGAGGGTATATGGAATTGGAAGTGAATCGATTATATTTATTTGTGGAATTTGAGTGTTG